TCAAATTGTATACAATAAAATAATTTGTTTTGATTTTAGTAATATATATTGCCCTCTTCTGTCTAGCTTCTATAAAAAACTCTAGCCAACAGTTCGGGCTTGGTTCTAGTAATTGTACTTAACGATAACCTAGCAACGTTTCTTTTAATCTTCAATTAAAACCTCTCGGTATCACTGTATTTAATTGCAATCTATCCATATTGATTTTCATCTTCCACAGAACGTCCAAGTCACTAGTTCTGTCTTGGTTCTAGTCACTGTAATTAGCTGAAACCTATCCGTATTTCTTTTTATATTTTATCAAACGCTTTAGTCACCGGTTCTGGTTGGTTCTAGTCATCGTATTTAATTGTAACACATCCATATGTCTTCTTAGCTTCTATAGCAAACTAGTCATCAGTTTTGTCTTGATTTTCGTCACTGTACTTGAGTGCAACTTATCAATATTTATTTTTTGCTTCAATTACAAAAGCTCTATACACCAGTTCCGTTTTTTTTCTCTACGTGGTCACACTATCTATACTGTAATCTATCTTAATTTTCATTTTAGTTTCTACAAAAAGCCGTTTGTTCTGGCAAAACTTTAGTCACTGTAATTAGCCATAATAAGCTCTAATTATTAATTCTGGCTTGAATATATACACCTAACTGTGCTAAAAACTAAGAATGTTTCTGGTTAGTACCTAGCCAAGCAACTAGTAACTACAATTCACGTTAAGTTATAAGGGATAGAGTTAATTTTAGAAAATTCATTGCATCATTCATAAGACTTTTAGAAAATTCATTGCATCATTCATAAGACCTACTTAATCTCAAACTTCATTCATGTCTTTTGCTCATTAAATATTCTAAGCCTGTGAAAGGGATCTCTTCGTACATGAAGAAAATCACAGACTTTCACACCAGGCTTAAAATATCACACTGTTTTAATGTGAGTCTCCTCTAAAGTAACACTACAAAATACATATTTCAACTTAAGACAGTCGAATAATTGTCACTCATGTCAGTTATACGTTAAGTTTTATAGAAGCTCTAAAAGAACAAGAATTTCAACATATTGCTCGATTTGATGTCTTCTTGGAAAGTAATTCGATAAATCACTATACATTGCGATGGAACGCTATTGACTTTAAATATTTTCTTACAGGAGAAAGAAATGGGTTTTAAATACACCAATGAGCATGAGGAATAGGTTTTAAATACACCAATGAGCATGAGGACTCTTATCAACAGGAACTATATAAATTTCATACTTCAATATATCTGCATTTCATTCTGAATGAAAAACTTATAGTTTTTGTCTTGGAGTTGTGTTGGCTTTAATCGAATGTATTCATTGGACGGTTCTAAAAATCTAACATCGTCCCCATGAGCAGTAAGACACAAAATTGTATAGTTTGTATAGTTTTAACAAGAGCTTTCAACTCATATTGTTCCAAAAAATTACAAGTTTCAATTTATTCTGCCAAATAATATCTAAATATTTACACGTAATGACAGGAAGTTTAGAAAATTCACCAATTAATATATTGTATAATAAAATCATATATCAGTGGTAGATTTATGGAAATTCTTCAGCTATTTAGCCACCCGACTGTCTGTAACAAATCACTTGGAACAGTCATTTATAAGATTTTGCATAATTCCAAAAGGTATTTTACAAAACTATTTGCCCAACTCCAATTATTTTATCAGATTTTTAAAAATGACAAACTTCCGTCTAATTAAACACTGTCACGTCCTGTTGTTTTACTGGATTTATTAAAGTATCAAACGCACGTTTACATCCACATACCTTTACCAAACATAAACGATTATGGCCACGCCTGTTTCTTTTTCTTTTTATTCCCTTTAACACATTATAATTCCGACTTAATAATGCACGTAACAAAATTACAGCGTTTTATCACATGTTGTGTAAAATGCTAAGACTAAAATGATCATAAGAATCGGTGTCGGTTTTCAATATTTTTGAAATGCTCTGAATTTTCCCTTTTCGACCTTTCAAACATAAATTAAGATATGCATTTATATGCTAGTATACAGGTACGAAAGTCAAAAGGTTAAAATGATCTTTTGGTTCTATATTTTAGTGCAAATGCTACATAATAGGCTATCTACGATATGATCAGGGGGGGAGAATCGAACCTCATATTTTACCGTAAAATTTACGTATTTGGCAAATCATGTTTGTCCATCCCCCACAGGAGGTCAGTAGTAGATTTACGAAAATTTAGCCACCTGACTGTCGTAACAAATCCCTTGTGGACCTTTAACTCTAGGTAAAGAATGCTTTTTTTTTACTGCTTGTCATTGAGAAATTATAAAATTAATAGTAAACAATTATTCTCGTTAAACTAATAAATGCATAACAATAGGTTTCTAAATTTTGACTTTTTTTACCACTAAAAGACAATCAACATTAGTAATATCCAACTGGCGTCTAAAAAATTGATCAAAGAAACAACAAGTTTAATCTTACCTATCTGAAACGCTTCCCAATAGTTCATCATTTTATTCTCTACGAAAGCCATATTGATTTCTTTGTAAAGTCCATAACACCACGTATTGCTAACGTGCTATATCAGTATGAAGAGTTGATTTTTTTGTAGCAGAATCTAATAAACCTTCTAACTGGAAGTACTGGAAAGCTTATATTTGCTGAAGTGAAAAGCGCACGCATATATATAGTTTTATCTAAAGTTCATGATTTATGAAGGTAAGGGCGGTTGACAGCGTGAATTCAACAGGGTATTGAGTTTTCTTAAACGTTAGAAAAAATGCTTTTGAACTGTCAAATCTTATGTTTGAATAAACGTATTGAGTAGATTCACTGGAATTAAAAAAAAAAACTCAAGCACTCAAGAATATGCATGAATCTAAAGTAAGTGTAATTATACTTCAGCATTCCAATAGAACATCTAAAAACCAAGAAGGCTTACGAAGGTAGAATCAAACTTAATTAAATTTCAGCTTAAAACAAGGTTTTCAGGTATTAGCTCGACCATTTCATGGATTACGTACATTGTCGGTAGTTTAAGTCTAAGATCCTTAGATCAAAAATTCAATTTGGCGTACAAATTAAAGTATTTTAAAGTGAATAAAATTTCTAAGGTGTTTTTTTTAAGCATCATGTTATCTTATTATCAGTTTCAGCAAACTATAAAATTTTGGAGATATAGAAACTTAAAAGCTTTTTTTTAGAACAGATGATTTATGGTACAGAGATATCTTATTTATTTGTCGTTTATACAGTTGTGTTCAGTTGCAAGTATTTGTATTTAGTTAATGATTATATTCCAATTTTTAAACACACTTGAGACAACTAAATGAAATTCGTAAATTTGCCTAAACGTGCAGGACAGGTTGACATAACTGTTGAAGCACCGGGCTGTGAATTGTGCGTTCTAAGGTTCGATGAGCACACTCCGTACTTTCAGTTTTAAAAAGCATCATATAATTATGACAGTCAGTCTCGTTGTTGTTATAAGTAGTCGTTATGGCGGCAGGTGTCGTTGGTTGTCTTCCTTCTAAATAGCAGTTACAAATTAAGGATAGCTATGCCTGAACGTTGGTTCTATGACCTGGCCGTTTAATCCACGTGTCGTATAAGGTGCCGTTCAGGTTAAAAATACAAAATACCTAAACATCCACTTGTGCACCACTGCCTCAGACATCTAACACACGCGTGTGGTTTACGTTATAAGTTCGACTTTCAGTAACTTGTACACACTTTGTTTGTTTGAATTTATGCACAAAGCTACACAATGGGCTATCTGTGCTCTGCCCACCACTGGTATCGAAACCCGGTTTCTAGCGTTGTAAGTCCGCTGACATACCGCTGAGCCACTGAGGGGCAACACACTTTGTATTACTTAATTCAAACACTTTCTGCCTAAAAAGCATTAATTAATTCAAACGTTTTACCCAATATTTTTCTTAAACAACCTATATATTTTTTGAACTAAATCATAAATATATTTACATACCTTTCATGTAATGAATAACACTAATAAAAACCGAGGAGCGTATAGTCATAAACAAGGAACCTTTTAGCTTGATGTTTAGCATGGCACTTTGTGACGGCCCGGCATGGCCAGGCGGATAAGACGCTCGACTCGCAATCTGAGGGTCGCAGGTTCGAATCCCCTTTCAGCCGTGGGGGCGTTATAATGTGACCTGCAATCCCACTATTCGTTGGTAAAAGAGTAGCCCAATAGTCGGCGGTGGGTGGTGATGACTAGCTGCTTTCCCTCTAGTCTTAACACTGCTAAATTAGGGACGACTAGTGCAGATAGCCCTCGTGTAGCTTTGCGCGAAATTCAAAACAAACAAACACTTTGTGACCATTCTTAAAGCTACGGAAGTAACTGGGTAAGTAATGGTTGTAAATTCGAGGTACGTTTAATTATTTCAGTCCAAAAGCAAGTTTATATAAAACATAACTTTAATGTACACTGTGTATTATTACATCAATTTAACATTTTAAGTGGGATCCTTTCACGGGTCCCGATTTTCTAACATAAGTTTAATGTGGTTGGAAGATCCCGTTTTCACTTTTAGTTCTGTTTTGGAATTCGTACGGGAAATGTATTTCGATTCTACTCCTTATGTGATGTTGTATTACAGAAATTCAAACATGATTTGAACCAACACTACCACGTTAGCCTATAAAATAAACGATATGAAGTTGATACTCATTTAACGGATTTATCCTCTCAAGAACCACATTTGTTAGGCCTGAAAATGTCTTCGTTACGAAACACGTTTGTTGTGACAAAACTTGTCTTGAAACTTAATATGCATCTAATTATCTGGAATCCTACATTGTTTCTACGAGAGGGTTTCTAATAGACCATGTGAATAAACATTTAATAATAATAATAATACTCAAGCCATCAGTTCCTCGTGTAAAGGCTTATACAAATAATTAAGTTCTTGGTTTAATACAAATATAGCAATTAATTAAGAAGTATTTGCAATGTACAATTTAAACTCACCAATATAACGAACACCTCCATCACGTCTTATGATGAATTTCCGGCCATCGGTATTTTCTACTGTGTTTTCATCATAATACATTCCTCTGGAGTCGGCGACACTTCTGGACCGTCCGGCTGCGCGCCATCTAGCGGGGAGGGTTGAACCTTGTTCAGAGCCTGATTTCTTCTGAGTATCACGTTGAGCACGTCTTAAAGTGTCACGTGTTATTCTTCCACTAGCCACTTCGTTTGAACGACTTGTTAATAATCCATTTCTATCACCATCAATATCTCCACTTCGATGGTTAGAATTTTTTAGATTACTCAATCTTTTTAACTCAGCTGAATCTATTGAACGGCTCGGCTGAATTACTTGATTAGATGTGTGTTTTCCTTTATGTTCCTCTTGAGATGCAGATTTTTTCACACCTTTTTCGACACCAGCGGGTGGCGATTGGTCTTGTTCTTGTGACTGAGCAATCTTTTTATTCTCATCAGATCGAGCTCCAGAAGGCATACTAGTGCTTCGGTGCATGGTGAACCTTTTGATGCTAAAAGGCATATTTTACGGACTTTGTGCAGTTTTTCAAGCACTCGCAGTTGCTCAGCTCTGTAAAAAATAGATAAATCGTGTAACGTATTTCAATGATATAATTTCATAATATATATATATCAATTCGTAATTTTCTTTTCAAGATATCACATTTTAGTTTCAGAAAGTAGAAAATATTTACAATGACAATACTGAAATATGCTATGCTTTTATTTTTAACTCCTTTACATTCCATATTTCTTGTGTAGACATATTCTTAAATATTTACAATGACAATACTGAAATATGCTATGGTTTTATTTTTAACTCCTTTACATTACATATTTCTTGTGTAGACATATTCTTAAATATTTAGGTGTTGGTTAAAGGTTCTCCTTGCTTGTAAAGCAAAACCTGGCCAGCTATGACGTAGACTTTGAGATTCAAGAAAATTAAGGAAGAGCATATAAACATGTCTTGTTTGCTAACATACAAGAACGATTGTCTGTTCATATACCTTAACTATTGCATTCAAAATGTCGGGTACAACTTACCTTACAGGCTGTTACTAATACCGCTAAGTTTATGTTACAGTATGAAAATTTCTATTCCCTCTAAAACAAGTATTTTCTCAACACAAACACATCAAAAAAGCGATCAAACTTTGATTGCACTACGTGTGTAACAAGCTTACTGTTTCCAAGACTTTTTCTCGTCGAACCTCAGTTTAACGGCAGCATGAAACTGGAGAAACAAAACCTCTGTTGGAATTGGCTTGATTTAAAAGTTGTAAGCTAACATAGCTGCATCTATGAATTTTTCTAATTCCTTAAGTCGGATATTCATTAAAAAGCTGAACACGTAAATATAAGCTGGATATGAAAGACATCTCTGTAAACAACAATGTTCCTTTTATAAAAAAGAAAATCAAATAATGAGAGCAACCCGAATAAAAATATCACAAAATCTAATAGTTAGGGTACAGTCGATTATAGATACCTCTGAATGCTATAAAGTAACTCCATGATTTATTCGGAAAAAATGTAATCGAAATAAATAGGATGTTACAAAACCTTATCCCAGCACAAGCTTATTTGTTTGTTGTTAAGCATAAAGGTACATAATGGGCTATCTGTGCTGTGCACACTACGAGTTTCGTTATAAGTCTTCAAACTTACCGCTAAACCATGGGACCCCAACATAAATGCTATAAAGTAACTCCATGATTTATTCGGAAAAAATGTAATCGAAATAAATAGGATGTTACAAAACCTTATCCCAGCACAAGCTTATTTGTTTGTTGTTAAGCATAAAGGTACATAATGGGCTATCTGTGCTGTGCACACTACGAGTTTCGTTATAAGTCTTCAAACTTACCGCTGAACCATTTGGGGATCCCAACATAAATATTTAACATACTAAAACAGGCAAGTAAGCTAAATGACTAGATCATTATGAAAATCATACATAGAAAGAGATACACAAAATAATAGAATATCATTCTATAAAATTCAACTCGGTTTTGTGCAATTAATTAATTTTATCTTCATTTTATATTCACTATTTATGTTTGGAACAATTTAAATTAAATATCATTTACTCTTCTTTATTTTTTTTCTAACTTCTTCAAATTTACTTTTCCATAAATTTTACTGTGGTAGATAGCATAGGGAGCAGACTCCCTATTATGGAAACATAGTTATATTTTATGTTTATGCATACAATGAAAATACAAACACAAACTTCAGTAATTTGTACATAATACGTTAATAAATTACACATTAAATGTGGGTGCCTTGTTTATATATCAGATGGTTCACAAGGTTGCTTACTTTCCATACAGTATAAAATAACACTAAATTATTTTAAGTTAAATCTCAATATACGTAAGAATAATCATCATTCATCAACTAAAACGTGTAATAGAAGGATTTTGAAGTTCGTGCTAATTATAGTAAATCACCACACATTCACTTATAAGAATAAAAAACTAGCCAGCTCAAAATAATCCATAGAAACCCTTAATATACCATGTGGTTGCTTCTCCAACAAGCTAAAGAATAACGAAAACGTATTTATCCAACTTTGTCTATTCATAACACAAAACTCACCTGTGCACTTTGCAACCTTTGATCGACCATGTGTATAAAAACATGTGAAATGAACAGAACTGAAATATTCCGTAGACGTAACGTTATACAAGTGAATATAGATTACGAAATTAAGCTTTGAAAGTCACATTACTTAACTAGACAAAAATGTAAATAATGGCACAATTGAACCAACTGACAGTAACAGTTTTTATGATGAATATTATTAAATACCACAACTTTATATATTCTCCAAGACACGAAGCTACCATAACAAGTAGATTTTATTTGGACATCATCTGGCAAGGGATTCATCTTCCATGACGTTTGACAAATAACCATATGTTTCAGATGCGACGTTAGCCACACACACACACTTAGCTTAAGGGATAAAACCAAATGTTTTCCGGCAGGATCCATCCTCCCTCTTAAAAACCTCTTGACATTTGGAGACTTCACCTTTCGGGAAATGGTGTAATGTAAGATAGACATATTTGAAGTATATTGCAGCTCGTAACTGGCTGGTTGTCTTTTGTGATGTTGACATTATCAGATTCAGTCTGCCAATAATGTAGGTAGACTTGTTTATTTCTATCTGCAATCTGTCTCTCGGAGGGAATAGGCTTTTACAGTTGTGACTAATTTCATGATAAGAGTAGTTTTGAATCTGGTTCAGATTGTTTCATTTGTTTCCTTTCTGATTATGAATTTGTTAATGATTCAAAGTCCTAAAGCTCATATGAATGCTTTATTAAATCAAATAAGTTTAACTGTATATATGCTTTGTAGATGATAACAATAACAACCACCAAAAAATTAATATTCTCGTACGAATAACATTAGATAAGTCAAAATAAGGGATACGTTTGAGATTAGCCAGAATAAGCAGTGATAATCTGAATCCAGAGAAAATTAGTATCTGTCGAGTAACCTCAATACTGATTCCGCTACCTGACAGTCAAGATCAAGGAATTTAAGATCTCCACAGCTCCACTGGTACTTTAAACAAGTGGTAAAATTTATTAATCTATTTATCAAAAGAGAGTGAGGCAGTCAATAAAAAAGTTAAAGAAATGAAATTAAGCCTGAACAACCTAGAAATAAATCATTAGAAAAGAGCCAACGTTAGCTAAACTTTTATTACTTTCTTCGAGTAAAAACATAGCATGCTTAAAAAAAAAAAACTTCAATTCAGAGCCGCGCATCAAATATCACTCAGAAATAGACTAAAAACAGCCCTAAATCATTCCTGTTGACAGATTATAACTCAAACGTTTTAGATCTGCACCACTCTTGAACAGGCGAAACTGAAGCTTGGTGGGAAAAAAAATCCCTAGGAAATTACGCCGAAAGCAACTTAAAAATTGAAAGGTTGGTTTATCTATTACAGCATTTTTACAAAATGTATTGTTTAACGATGAAAATGTTCATATTACTTTTATTTCATTCTATAGATCCTCTTCTGATAAACGACAGACATTGAACATACGTAAACCATCAACAATATTTAATCATCATACTTGCAGGAAATAAGAGAACATGTTTGAACATGTTAGAACAAAACACGGTATGTGTTGAAAATATTGTTTTTTGATGTCATGTTGGAAGATTCCACATCGACCATTATATACTTTGACGAAAGGACAGATAAACACTAGAAAATAACCAAACCCACAATACACGAAGCAAAAAATTAAACCAAACAACGAAAGCGTGAAATTTATAACTGAAGTCCATTTTCATAAATTTATATAAATATCACAAAAGCCAATTTTCTTAGAAAAGAGTCAGTATTATGGTCAAAATTCTAAGACATGAAATAATTTCATCACCTTCGATACATAATAATAATAAAGCAGCAAACCAATTTAGTTTTCTAAATTAGTTCCGAATTACAAGTTATCAAATCATAATTTTTGGCTATTAAAAATGTATGGAGGATGGCAGCCTAGCGTACAGACATATTTCGAAATCCAGAATTCAGTTTCTATACAGGCAAAATCAGGCAAAGAACGACACACTACTCAAAATCGCATGCTAAAATTAACAAAAGTGGTTATTCATGACCAGTTAGTAGTCACGAAAACATTATACATTTTAAAGTATAACTGAAGTACGTGAAGTCGATTTTGAGTAAATTAACCAAAGAAATAAAAAAAAATCCAAGTTCTCCATAATTATGGCTTTTATAACAACAGACCTTTAAAGGCCTCTAATTTTTATTTGATACTTGAAATATTTTAGATAAGTCATATACTTAGTATGCGACTCATGCTGTTGCCTATAGATAGATAAGTTGGTAAATAGTGCAAAAACTGTAAAAACACGATTTAAGGCTTATCCCCTACATGAAACTAAGACGCTTCTTGGATATAGCCAAACACTCAAACACTGCGCAAGCATGAAACAGGATTATCAATCTGATGATAGCAGAAACTGAGAAACCTGATGGTTAAAGCTGTTATTCCACGTATTTAAGTTTCGTACAATACTACAAGAGTTATGTGCAGAAAACTCTATTTCTGACTTTGTTAAAATAAATTCCCGACTGTCGGATAATAAATCCGTCAGCAAGCTGGTCGACTGACTGAAGGAAGCATTCGCCTGTAAACATTCAATGTTTTTGTTTTGCCAAGCACAATTATATACTCAGATAACAGAGCTATTGGAGACTAATATTTTGTTTGTACTTCTTTCAGGTCAATATTAACTGTATAGTGCCACTTAAAATACAGTTTTTACCTTGTATCATGACTCTCAAAGTACAGTTCTGGTTTACTTTCTATGGTGACAGTCATTCAGGTTCACTTTGTTCATCTAGTATACTAATAATCAAAGCCTCACTGTAACTTTAGACAATGATGTGTTCTTATAGTCAATATTAGGTTGTCATGATAGTGGATTTGAATATCTTAAAGATCGATAAAATTTGTCTTTATAAAGGTTTTTAGATTATTTTAATAATGGATTTCACGTGTCATGATAATG